TACCAGCGAATGGTTGTACTATTTTGCATGAGTTTAGAAGAATAAAATGCACAGGGCTGAAGACATGGTTCAGAGGTTAAGAGCATTGGCTGCTCTTGCAGAGGACCCAGGTTCGATTCCCAGCACCCACATGGTGGCTATGAACCATCCTTAACTCTAGTTCCAGGGGAATCCAAAGCCGTCTTCTGACCTCCCCGGCATTGCAAGACATGAGAGTACTCACATACATGCAGGCAATACACACACACATAAAATAAAAATAATAAATACTAAAAAATAATAAATTAAATAAAAAATTTGTTACTTTTAGAGCTAGGCATGATGGCCAGGTCTATACTCACAAGACCTACTCCCCATGGAGGGATTACGGGCAGTTAATGGATGCTGGGCAGAGTGTCATTGATACATTGCCCATGTTCCAGTAAATAACTACCAACTCATGCAAACAACCATAATTAAACTAATGAGTAAAATAAACAAATACAAAGACCTCAAAGTAGGGGGGCAAGTTGGGAGGAATGATTTCATCAGTAGAGGGAAATGTGAAAGGGTAATGGGGGATGAGAATGATCAGAATTCTAGAAACCCATTTTGAAAAAGCAGTAACAAAAAGTATTCTTTAAAAAGAAAAGTACGCCTTATAAAAAGGAAAAGAGTTGGGTGTGGTGGTGCATGCCTTTGATAGCACTCAGGAGGCAGAGGCAGGCAGATCTCTGTGAGACTGAGGCCAGCTTAGATTACATAGCGAATTACAGGTCAGCCAGGGCTGCAAAGTGAGACCCTGTCTCAAAAAACCAAAAATAAATAAAATAAACTAATTAAAATGATAAAAGTTAAATACAGGAAAAGAATGTAAGTTCTGACACAACTAAGAGTAAGGAGTTCCACCCTGAGACAACCATTGACGGCCTCAATTTTATCATACCATAAAGTGCATATAAAACCTAAATGTGTGTATTGGTGACTATGGGTGCTAAATTACAGAAAGCTGCCTACAAAGGATTCAAGAAATGCTAGGCATCATGATATGTGGGTATACATACATGTACATATAGATACAAATGTTCTTTTTCATGTATGTTCATTATCATATCAATCCTATGGTTGCATTTAGATTTTAGAACGCATTTCTTCATGCACATCCCATTTTTGGAGGGTTTTTTTTTGAGACAGTTTCTCCTGGAGCCCCAGCCAGTCTGGAACTCACTATGTAGACCAGGCTGGCTTCAATCTCATAGAGATCCTCCTGCCTCTGCCCTTCCTGACCATTATAACAATTATAATTTTTCACTCCAGCAGAGGCAGGTGGATCTCTATGAGCTTGAGGCCAGCCTGGTCTACATAGCAAGTTCAGGCCAGCTGAAGCTGTATAATGAGACCCTGTCCCAAAAAAAACAAATGCGATTTCAAACACATCTACTTTGCCCTTCATGATACTATTTCTTAATAATCACAAAAATTCTTCCCTTCAGTATGGGATAATTGACCCAGTACACTGTCATAATCTCCATTAAAAACCCAGGACCCCTCTATTGACTTACCAAATCTGCGACTTTAGCTAGATCAATCATAACATTAATGTCACACCCACATTCAATAATGGTAAGTCTGCGCTTTTTACCTATAAGTGAAAAGATGAAAATTTTACTTTTTAAAAACCCTGAAAACATTCTACCCATTAACTCTATCTCTCTTTAATTTTACAATATATCACAGCTACACCCAGATAAATAAGTGTTCAAACAGGGATAATTCTAGCTGGGCGTGGTGGTGCACACCTTTAATCCCAGTGCTTAGGAGGCAGAGGCAGGTGGATCTCTGAGTCTGAGGCCAGCCTAGTCTACATAACAAGTTGTAGGCCAGCTAGTGCCACATAGTGAGGCCCTGTCTTTAAAATAAAAAAAAATCCCTATATGTAACACAACAGAATGGTCATGGAAAATCATACTTTCCTGTACTATCACTATAAATTACAATATCCTCAAACCTAATAAACCAGAATGTTCACAGAACAATAACTAGTTCCCAATTAAAATAAAATAAAAAAGATCAAGGATGCCCTAAAGAAAAAGAAATGCTTCAGTCCTCTCCACAGCCACTGTAACAAGGGACTTCAGGTCCTACCATTTCCATTTTAGGAATCTGTTTCACTGTCCCTCACTTAACACATGCAAATTCTTATGAGAATTTCCTATGGGAAATTTTCCTATGGGAATTTTCCTATGGGAAAAGGGGGCCTCAAGTGGCTTCAAGGAGGCAAGCAGGTATATATGGTACAAAGGTGCTTACTTACTGTTAAATTAATGTGCTCACAACAAACAGACCTACTAAGCCTACCCAAGAACCACACTTGGCAAAGCCAGCAGTCAGACTAAGATTGTATGCCTCAGTATCACTGTCTCTAGGAACTTATCCTTTGGAAGTTACAAGCAACTCAGTAAAAGCGAAAAAGCACTAATACAATGTGACGTTGATACAGCATTTTCTCCTTGAAAACAAAGGGCACGTTCTGTCCTTCAGATGACACCACTTGCCACACCAGCTCTGTGGTGCACCCCCTACCTGACACAATTGTTACAGGGCCTCTGATCTCAGTTAGCTTCTGTCTGGTGAAATTCCGAATAAGGCACCGAATCAAAGTGCTCTTTCCAACTTTTGGAGGCCCCATCACCACTACCACCACTGGTGGCGGTTTTAGTGGAGTTTGATCAACCACTGGGATGTGATGCTTTTTTGTCTTTAAATCTTGAGTCCTGTTTTGTAAAAAAAAAAAACAACAAAAATTTTACTTTCCAAACATGAATAAAAGATCTCAATCTTTTAAAATAATAAAAGATCTCAACCTTTTAAAAATAAAAGATCTCAACCTTTTAGAGAACAGACAATGCAAAGATATAATTAACTTTAACTTGTTAATTGGTAACGTCTGACCCTAGTCCATATAACTCTGGAAAGGTGACTACAAAAATAGAGTTGAAATTCAAGACATCTTAACTCAAAAGAGAAGAAAAGGCAAACACAGAGCCAGTATATCCTCACAAGAGCCGAAGCTTTGGAAATAAAATGCTGTCCTATCCACTGGTTATTTAAAAAGGGTAACTTGCTCTCTGAGCCTCTTTTAATATCCATAGAATGAGGGCAAGAACAATTCCTACGCTCTTAATGCTAGTGAGAGGATTTAATCCAGTCTTCATAAGGAACTGCTAGATATATAGCAACACCTGCATAATTAAAGCTATTTTAGTATTTTACATTAAATAAAAGATATGGGGGGGGGCAGGAACCAACAACATACTACCCTGGAAATTAAAATTTAGGAAAAAATTCTGTGAATTAAAGTCTATAAATTCTTTTCCCCTGGACTTTTTAAAAACCCAAGCAAAGGGCAAATACTGGAGGCAAAACAACTTCTTTGGCAAAGACTTCAAACGTTTTAGTAAAAGCCATATGCCATGCCTACTTATCCATTAGGGCTGCATTAGAACTACAAAGCCAAATGTTATCTGTGAAAGGTCCTTACTGCTTAAACACAATGGAAGAAGACCTAGACCCCAGCTAAACATACCTGTGGAAGGATCGCGCCATCCGCACAGCAGACTGAACTGCGAAAGCTTTGGGGTTTCTCTTCCGGGCATCATCTTCATCTCCAAGTTGGAGATCCTGCAGATGCCGTTTCTTCTTCTTCTCAGCCTTAGGCCCACTGTGCTTCTTTCTGTGTTTCTTCTGATCCTTAGCCTCCATGGTGGCTATGTATGAACTACAGATAAGTCGCAACCTACGTGGAATGGGGTGGCAAGGTGGTGGAAGTGTGACAATCAATTTCATGTATTTGTCTAGGAAAAGATGAAGTATTCGTTCACCTAATAGGTGTTTAATATCATCCTCAAATTCACTCCTTTCTTAGGGTATCAATCAGATAAGCTGCTCGCACTAAAATTACCATTTATGCCTAAGTTATGCTTCATCCACCTTAAAACCACCGGCAGTGTTCCCTTCCGTGCTGATGGAAACATGCTCCACCTGAGCTTTTCAATACAGCAGACACTGACTACCGACACTGAAAAAAACGAATCTTAATTCTAAACTTAAATAGCCCCATATGGCTAGTGCCTACTACACGGGGCAACTCAGGTCCAGCCACCAACTAGACCAAGGAAGTGACTTCCTAACTTAACCCAAAACATTTTAACTGGAGGCGTAAAACACTAATGACTGAGGACATCCCTTACCCGGAGCTCGACTGTCCGAGTTTCAGCGCTTTCCGGTTCACAGACGCAACAGCTCAGGTCCACATGCACACCACCGGAAACGGAAATTGATCCTCCGCACCTACTCGCCGGGGGGAAACAGAAGAGATGAAAAAAAGACCCCGGGGTGGAGGACGACTTGCAGGCGAAACCGGAAGAAAGTCCTTATTGGCTGAGTGTGTGCGCAGGCGCGGTTCTTGTGCTGCTGCCAGGAGCCCGGTCGGTTCCTAGTCCTGCAGCTCCCGGTTCCGGAAGTCTTGGGATCTCTGGGTGCTCCACCACTACACTCCGGGCGGACTCCCCCAGCGGCACCGTGGTCCCACCTGGCTATTTGATGGCATAGGAAAGCCGAAAGGTGCTTGGTCGCCCTTGAGTCCCATCCTGTTCCATCCAGTCCCACCCAAGAGCCTTGAATGCCACGGAACTCGCCCTGTAGCCCAGGCTGGCCTCGATCTCGCAGAGATCCACCTCTGCCTCCGGAACGCTGGGATTAAAGGCGTGCACCACCGCGCCCCGGCTCGCTTGCCTTTTTCTTCCAGCTGTGTGCGCAGCCTTGCATCCACAGGGCTCTGCCCATTCAGCCCTTTAACCCCCAATAGTTAGTTACTGTAGTTGTGTCGATTCAAAACAGCCCTCAAAAGAGCGCCGGTGGCCTGGATTTCGTATCCGGGTTCCCACTGAATAACGTGTCAATGCAAAACACAGCTCTCAACTCAGAGGGAGCAAGAGCTTATTGTTGAGCCAAATAATAGCGACAGTGCCCCCGAAGACACGCTCCACTGTAGAAGGGTTATGTGAGATTTTGTTAGTTACAGAACAGTCATGAATCTAGGCATCTACGAGACGCGTTGGTGTTGACCACAGGCAAGTATGGGTTACAGCAAAATGGGGGAAATTAGGTTAGTTTTCAGATGCTTTAACATTCTTAGCTTTTGGTTTGGTGGAAAGCAGTGCTAAGAATACATGTTAAAGATTTTGATAGTCACAAGCATGTTAGGTTAGACAGTAGGAATGCCACCTCAAGCCTACTGAAGATTAGTTGTATACTTGGATTTACGTAACTGGTTACATAGTCTATAAACACTGGGGAAACGTCTGTCCGCTGTTTCAGAGCTAAATTGTGTTTCAATTTGTGTTCATTAGCCCATTCCAGGAATGATTAAAAACTGTATTGTGCTTGACTATGACATAATTAAAATTCCCTGTATTAAACAGTGCTGCTTTTTACTTACTAAAGGCATTTTAGTGTGGTGTAGGTATAATAGCAAATGATAGTTAACACTTGATAGGTTAAAAATTGGGATGGAGAGCGAGTGCGGATAGAGGAGGCACCGAGGCACAGATGGAATTCTCAGCGGGATACAGCTTTATTTCGCTCGGGCACGTTTCCCTCGGGGAAGGGAAAGATGTCAGGGAAGGGAAAGATGTCAGGGAAGGGAAGGATGTCAGTGAAGGGCAGGGAAGGGAAAGATGGCAGGGAAGGGCAGGGAAGGGAAAGATGTATGTCAGGGAAGGGAAAGATGTCAGGGAAGGGAAGGATGTCAGTGAAGGGCAGGGAAGGGAAAGATGGCAGGGAAGGGCAGGGAAGGGAAAGATGTATGTCAGGGAAGGGAAAGATGTCAGGGAAGGGAAGGATGTCAGTGAAGGGCAGGGAAGGGAAAGATGGCAGGGAAGGGCAGGGAAGGGAAAGATGTATGTCAGGGAAGGGAAAGATGTCAGCGAAGGGCAGGGAAGGGAAAGATGTCAGGGAAGGGAAAGATGTAAGGGAAAGATGTCAGGGAAGGGAAAGATGTCAGCCCATGGGCTGTGAGCTGGGACTTTATATATGGGGGCTTTAGGGTGTAGAAGGGAGGAATGTTTGGGGGAGAAATCAGGGAGGGGGAAGCAGGAAAAGCAGGTAGGATTAGGGTCTGGAAGTGTTTACTTTTTCCAAGATAAGAGAAAAGCTGTTGTGATAAACAACTTCTAAAACCTCTGGTTAAGGGGTAGAATCTGCTTATCTTTGGAGATCAGAGGAAAGGCAGGCTGCTTCTCAGCAGAGTTTGTTTCCCTTGACTTCAAAGGTCAAGGTGAGGTCCCTGTTGGGGAGGGGGGAAACTGCTGCTGTTTGGAACCCTAACAACACTTCTCACACAAGAAAATCCATAAATAAATAAGCGTAACCTAAGAAAATGCACACTCAGAGAAAGACTAATACACTTTTCAGTAAACAGTCACTGAACAAATCAAGAACATAATTTTAAAATTTCTAAAACCAAATAAAAATAAGAGCATAGCTTACCAGCACGTATGGGAATCAGCCAAGTCAGTCCTAAAAAGGAAGTTTATAGTTACACATGTTCGCATTAAACAGAGACCTCAAAAACAAAAATAGTAATGTAATCCCCTTGAATTAACCTTGACCTCAAATGGGGCAGAAAATAAATGGTGAAGATTAGTGAAGAAAATAATGAACTAGAGACAGGAAGAAAGGAGATAGATAATGGATAGGAAACAGATGCTAAAAGGAGAACACATAGACTCAATCAAAGAATTGATTCTTTGAAAATATTAACAAGACTGACAAACCAATAGCCAAACTAACAAAAAGAGAGGGAAGATGCAAACTGATAAAATTGAAATGAAAAGGGAGCTGTTGAAACAGATTCCAGTGAGATCCAGAAGATCGTTAGGGAATATTTTGAAACCTGATAGTCCAAAAAGCTAGAAAACCTAAAAGAAGTGGATAAAATTCTACATGTAAGTAACCTTCTGAAATTAAAACCAAAAGATACAAATAATTCAAAAGATCTACATCTAGCAATGAAATTGAAGCAGTAATTAAAGCTTCCCAAAAAAGCCCAGTACCAGATAGGTTCACCACTGAATTTTACCAAACTTTTAAGGAAGATTTAATACCAACACATCTCAAGCTAGTCCAGAAAATAGAATGGGAAGAACACTACCAAATACATTTTACCAAGCCAGTATTACCCTAAAACCAGCTGCAGATAAGACATGACAAAAGGACATGGAGAGACGACTGGGCAGTTAAGAGCATGCACTGATTTTGCAGAGAAACCAAGTTCAGTTCCCAGCACCCACTTAGGGCAGCTCAAAACACCATCTGTGACTCCAGCTCCAGGAGACCCCATGGTCTCCAAGGATACCGGCACTCATGTACACATATGTTCAACACAGACACACACATACACCTCACTAAAATAAAAACAAATATTCTTTTAACATGGGAAAGAAAATGTAAAACTACAGACCAATTTCTTTTATGAGAATAAATGTAAAAATTCTCATTGAAATACTTAGGAACCAAATTCAAGAACACATTAAGAAGATCGTACATCATGACTACATTTTGTTGGTTAAACATGCACTAATCATATGTAACACATGGTATAAATAGACTTAAGAATAGAAACACTTGATCTCAGTATATGCCAAAAAGGCAATGACAGAGTTCAATGTGCTTTCATAACAAAAGTAATGAAGAAATTAGGAATAGATGGAACATACCTCAACACAATGAAGGTTATATATGAAAAACCTGTATTCAGTATTATACTAAATACAGGAAAATGGAGAGCAGGTCCTCTAAACCTTGAATGAGACAAGGGTGCCCATTCCCTCCATTCAGTCACTATAGTGCTTAAAGTGTTACTGAGAGAAGGTAAAGGCATAGAGGTGATAAAAATCAGAAAGGAAAAAGTTCAATATTCCTATCTGCAGAGGACATACCTCTTACTTAAAGATCCCACAGACTTACTGAATGTGGAGTTACACTCCTTTTATACCAGCACTCAGGAAGCAGAGGCAGGCAGATCTCTGTGACATCAAGACCAGCCTGGTCTACATAGTGAGAGCCAGGCCAGCTGTGACTACAGGGAGATCCTGTCTCAAAAAAGAAAGAAAAAAAGGAATGTGGACAGGGCACTAGAACACATGTAATACAAAAATGGAAAGGGAAATAGGAGTGGTTGGGAAGTGGGGGGAGAAAAATGGGGGCGAAGAGTGGCTGGGGTGGGAATGTGAACTAAAATGACATACATATGAAAATGTCATAACTAAACCTGTTAATTGGTATCCTAATTTAAAAGTCAAAATAATGTGCGAAATACAAAATGTATAATTCTTTTTAAAAGGAATGAAAAATTCACATTTTCTCAGTAAAAACAGGTAGGCTTAACAGAATCTGTAAGCAAATGCATTGAGGTGGGAGCTTTGAGGGTACAGAACATATACCTCACAAGGAGAGAGTTATTTCTCCCGTCAGTTTAGTGTCTTTAGGTGTACCATGTTTCTCGAGGTTAAAGCTTTGAGGGGTGTCCAGGCGATCAACAGGCCCAATTTGGATGAACCATTATATATATATATATATATAGTTTTATTTTATGCATAGAAGTGTATTGCCTGCATGTATGTAAGTGCACCTGTGTCATGCAATGCTCACAGAGGTCAGAACAGGGGTTAGATTCCTCTGGAACTGAAATTACAGACAGACGTTTGCTACCATGTGGGTACTGAAATTAAACCCAGGTCCTCTGCAAGAGCAGGCAGTGCTCTTAATCACTGAGCCATCTGTCCAGCCCCTAAATATGATCTATTATTCAGGTTGCATTATCTATAAAGTAATGGAGGAATGGATCTGTCAATGATCTTTACACTGATTCTCCTATTCACGGCGGGAAATCAGCCTCTACAAACAGTAACATTCAGAGTCTGGGTAAACTTCTCTATTACTGTGGTCCCAGTTTATCTTTTTGTAAGAAATTATTTTCTTTTTTTAAAATTTATTATTTTTATTTTATGTGTAGAAGTGTATTGCCTGCATGTATGTAAGTGCACCTGTGTCATGCAATGCTCACAGAGGTCAGAACAGGGGTTAGATTCCTCTGGAACTGAAATTACAGACAGACAGTTTGCTACCATGTGGGTACTGAAATTAAACCCAGGTCCTCTGCAAGAGCAGCCAGTGCTCTTAATCACTGAGCCATCTGTCCAGCCCCTAAATATGATATTTTATTCAGGTTGCATTATCTATAAAGTAATGGAAGTATGGACCTGTCAATGATCTTTACACTGATTCTCCTATTCACAGTGGGAAATCAACCT